TGTGGGTTAGCCGGATGCATATTAAAGTTTGTGAAGGTCTGCTGGACAAAGTCGGCTGCCCAATTACTGTACACTACCTCCTCCTATGGCACAGATCCCTGACTTCCGGGGTGAGCCTGACTGGCCCAGGATAATCCCATTTCCCCTTGCCAATGACTGCTTCAGTAATGGGAGTGTAACCATTCTGGGCAAGGAGAGCTAAGTGGAAGTTGACTGGAAGAAATTTCTTTAAAACGTTTCCTCCATTCCAAGAGTCAGGGAAGACACACTGCGTCTTTCTCCGGACACTGTTGTGTCTGAAGATGAAGAAAAGTGAAAACGGCTGCAGACATCTCCTAGCAGCCTAAAAATGAAGCCCACACCAGAGCTGGAGGAACGCAGAGCTAGAAATAGGTCCCTGATGACGTTTTTGAGCCCCTCAGTCCATCACCCTGAAGCCTGTTTCACTCGGAATTCCTTTCTTGTGTTCAAAATCCTGGATAATCACTGATGACCCTGAACAAAGAGCCCCAAAATCAGACTATTTTCGATTAGATGTTTTTTTTTTTAAAACTTGACAAATTCCAAGAGTTGGGTGTTTTCGTCCTATATAAAGCTTTTTATTGGCTGAAACAATATCTTACTTTTGTATGATCTTTTTTATCCTCATTCCTAGGATACTGAAGTGGGGTTTTTAATTTGTGAGATCAAATAGTACTTGTAAAATTTTTTTAAATGGAAGTGTCTCCTTAAAAATAATGATTTAGTCAAACAAGCCCATATTTAAAAAATAAAGCCTATTAGACATATTAAATATTTTAATTTATCTTCTAGAACATTTCTCTCTTCAATACCTAAGTTTTGACCTAATTTTACAAGAATGGTATTTTTGAATGCCAAACAATAGGCTGCTATGTTTAACACATTTCCTATTTGCCCGAAGACATGAGTACTGGCAGTCAGCTGCACTTTTTTCTTTTTTTTTCCTGAACAGGAAATGGTTAAACACATATAAATCACAGTAAAAATTATTAAAGAAGAGCAAGGCAGCAACAGAAATTTGACACACAGAAAAAAAGAGAAATATATCAAGATACATGTTATTACACATTAGTGAACAATGTGCATTAGTTCATGAATTTTTTTTAAATTTCCAACACCATCCAATTTTTGCATTACAAATACAATTTTAAAGAACAGTTCTGTCACTTCAAGGAAAACAGTTGACAGTATTTGTTACCAATAATAAATTTTGAGCTTTTTTTTGTTTTTTTTTTTTGGCAAAAAAGAGTATTTTGGGTAAACTTATATCTGCCACCACGAGTTTGACAGCTTCTCAAGAGCTTTCTGATGTGAGTGGCAGTGATATTAACAACTATGATTTCTATATATGCATTCTGAAATTTTCCAACTTTTTTTTTTGAGACAGGGTCTTGCTCTGTCTCCTAGGAGTCCAGTGGCGTGATCTCAGCTCACTGCAACCTCCAACTCCCTGGCTCAAGTGAGCCTCCTACCTCAGTCTTCCCTGGTAGCTGGGACTACAGTAGCACACACCACCATAGCTAATTTTTGTATTTTTTGTACAAACAAGGTTTCACCATGTTGCTGAGCTCAAGTAATCTGCTTACCTCTACCACCCAAAATGTCAGGATGGCAGCCGTCCCCACTGTGCCTGGGGCCTGCCAACATTTGTAAGCTCAGTGAATCAGTATTTTCCAAATACCCAATATGTCATGATACAGATACACATTAAAAATCAATTAAGAAAGATCAATATGTTTTAACTAATCCAATATGTCATGATACAGATACACATTAAAAATCAATTAAGAAAGATCAATATGTTTTAACTAACAGACTATGAAATTCAAGATGAAAAGTTAATTGAGATTAATTTCAGATTTCACATAGCAACTAACATCTAAGAAACGACTTCTTGCGGGCCGGGCGAGGTGGCGCATCCCCGTAAAGCACTTTGTGAGGCCAGCGTGGGCAGGAGTTCCAGACCAGCCTGGCCAACATGGTGAAACCCCATCTCTACTAAAAATACAAAAATTAGCTGGGCTACCGTGGTGGCACACGACTGTAATCCCAGCTACTTGGGAGGCTGAGGCTGGAGAATTGCTTGAACCTGGGAGGCGGAGATGGCAGTGAGCCGAGATCATGCCACTGGACTCCTGCAGAGACTTTAAAAAGAAAAGAAACTACTACTTGTCGTATCAAAAAAAATCCACAGTAAACTGAAAAGGTTGTTAAAATGCTCCTCCATTTTTGAACCACATTTTGTATATGCCCGATTTTCTGTACATCCTTTAGCCAATGATATATCGATTATAATAGATTATAAAGCAGAAGCCGATTTCAGAATCCAGCTATGTTCTATTAAACCAGACCCTAGAGATTAGCACAAATCACTAATGTTTTGGATATACAGCTTTTTCATGATAGTTACTTACATTATATAGTAACTATATAATAAATTTATTACTTCTATTAAATCAACACTTTTAAAATTTTTTATTTCTAATATGGTAAATATTTATGGATATAAGCTATAACCTATATAAACAAAAGCTCTTTGGAATCTTCAGTAATTTTTTATGAATGTAAAAGGGTCCTAAGACCAAAATATTTAAAAATTGTTGTCAGAGCACTTGCGGTTGGTGCTGGAAACCCAGAAGAGCTGGAGACAGCTGCAGCCTGCTGCCCATCAACCCAGGGAATCACCCTCCCAGGGAATCATCTGCTCAAGCTTAACTAATCAACACACAGACAAAATTCATATTTAATTTTTTTTTTTAAATGGAGTCTTGCTCTGTCACCCGAGCTGCTACACAGTGGCACAATCTCTGCTCACTGCAACCTCCACCTCCCAGGCTCAAGCAATTCTCATGTCTCAGCCTCCAGAATACCTGAGAACATAGGTGTGTGCCACCATGCTTGGCTAATTTTTTGTATTATTTGTAGAGATATATTGCCATGTTGGCCAGGCTGCTCTCCAACTCCTGACCTCAAGCAGTCTGCCCACCTTGGCCTTCCAACTCTTGACCTCAGGCAGTCTGCCCACCTTGGCCTTCCAACTCCTGACCTCAGGCAGTCTGCCCACCTTGGCCTTCCAACTCCTGACCTCAGGCAGTCTGCCCACCTTGGCCTTCGAAGGTGCTGGGATTACATGTGTGAGCCACTGCCCCTGGTAAGATGCTACTTTTTTTTTTTTATTTTTATCTTTTGAGATGGAGTCTCAACTCTGTTGCCAGGGCTGGAGTGGCGCAACCTCAGCTCACTGCAACCTCTGCCTCCTGGGTTCAGGTGATTCTCCCAAGTAGATGGGATTACAGGTGCCCACCACTACACCCAGCTAATTTTTTCTATTTTTAGTAGAGATGGGGTTTCACCATTTGGCCAGGCTGGTCTCGAACTCCTGACCTTGTGATTCGCCCGCTTTGGCCTCCCAAAGTGCTGGGATTACAGGTGTGAGCCACTGCACCCAGCCTTCAGATGTTATTTTAATATAAGAGTAAGTCACTGAAGAATAGAAACTAGTAGGATTGATTTACTTTTCTTTTTAAAAATTTACTTTGTAGAGATCACTTTAGTTATGGGAGGAAGCAGAGAGCCTGAAAAAAAAAAAAAACACACAAAAAAAACCTCTTTAATGCTGAAAGTTCTAAGAGGCTGAATGAGCATTGGGAAAGATGCCATGGAGTGAGGCTTAGCCACCAAATGGTGATGGCCAACACTAAGAGTGTGATTTTCCAGAGATTCTAAGCAATCAATAAGTACAATCAGAGAAAGAGGGAAAAATACCTACAAATGTGCCAGATGCAGTGGTGCACACCTGTAATCCCAGCCCTTTGGGAGGCCAAGGTAGGAGGTTTGCTTGAGCCCAGGAGTTTGAGGCGGTCCGTGCAACATAGTGAAACCTGTCTCTACAAAAGTAAAAACCATTAGCCAGGTATGGGGGGCATGACTGTGGTCCTCGGTACTCAGGAGGCTGAGGCAGGAGGATTACTTAAGCCCTGGAGGTCAAGGCTACAGTGAGCTGTGGTCATGCCACTTCACTCCAGCCTGGATGACAGAGCAAGACCTTGTCTCAAAAACAAAAAACAAAAGCTACAAAGAGGGAACATCAAGTGTGGACTGCTCCGAAATACAACTAGTTAATGTGACCATGAGTGACTCTCCTAACAGGGTATTTATGCCCTTACGTTGCTACCGTATGTGATTTATGTAGCTAAAGACTTATTCTTCAACATTTCAAACAAAGGAAGACAGAAAATTCTGCTTACAAGTTAAAAACTTTATCATCAACTGACCTAAAACCTACCCAATAATATTAGTTCTATTAACTAGTCCAAAGATAAACTTTGAAGTTGCTCTTATTTGAACTGGAAAATTGTTATTTTCAAACTAAATATAAATAATAATAAATTGAAACAAAAATAAAGCAAAAAAAAAAAGACTATTCTAATAGTCTTGTATCTCAAAGCAACTTAATGTTATTTCATCAATTTGGTAATTATTTTTAAGCAATGCTCTTTAGCCTTTAACTAAAAAGTCTGAAGAGTCCTCTTTAGTTTACTCTGAGTTCTCTCATCTGCCAGCATTCTTGCCACTGTCCCTGATATATGAGGATACCACATCAGATGTTAACCTGACTGAGTGCTGCTACCCTTCTTAGAGAAGAAAGTAAAACATGCCTGTATCTCTATCAAAAGTGGAAAAACAGCTGGCTCCCCTTCTCTCATTTATCTTATCTATCTGTTTCCTCTAGGCCTTTTGAGTCTGTAAGGCAGTAAAATAAAATCTGTATTATACAAATACAAATTACTATACAAAATAATACAAATTATATGCTAGATATTTTTATGGCAAAATGGAGTATTTGGTAAAGTTACTAGTAATATCAAATATCCCAACAATAAAAAAATCTACTAGAAAAATCAATGCAGATTCACAGCATTTAGTATTTATGCTCAATATAAAATATTTAAATACACATATTTTAAGAAGAAAGTTACCTTTCAAGAGATGATTCAGATCCATTGTGTCATGTAGGACTTTTTGCTTGTGTCTGTGGTCTAAACTGGAGTCTAACACTGAAGAGGGCTTTGAGAGATCAGGCTCCTGTTTTTCTTTCCCTTTTTTGGCTGACTTCAAATATTCTGAATTATTTTTCAAATCCTCGACATCTTCATCTATTTCTTGGCTCACATTTTCTTGCTTTTTAACTTTCACTTTTTGATCGTTTGCCATGCCCAGTTCAAAAGACTGAAGAGGGCTGATGTCTGGAGTTGACAAGGGAGTCACGTCGGTCACAGTGTCTTCAGACTCCTCAGGGTAGTGGCCACATTTTGCTGTAGAACTTGAAGCCTGCGTTTCTGTCGGTTTCATTCCTGACTTACACTTCTGTTTTGGCGACAGGAGGGTTACATCACATACATGTCTCTTGGATGATGGAGATGAATCAGATAGATGGCTATCAGACCCTGCATCTAAACAATCTGCACCTGAACTTGAAGGTGAGGACGATAAAGACGAGGAGGAAGAGGAATGCATTTCGCAATACTTTTTCCTTGCACCTTTTTTGACGTTAGTGGGTGGTTTCGCAGACCTGGACCTCACATGGGATTTCCTCCCATCGTCGCTGCTTTCCTCTCCACCTGTATAGTAATCATCTTCACCTTCGTTTACAATTTGGGGAATACTATTTGGAATGGACAAGTGTATTTTAAGTCCTGTTGTAACATCACACGATGTTCGTGACTTTGAAGAGGTTGGCAATGAGAAAGCATTTACAGTTTGGGTAACATCATTCTCTACAGGGTGTTCTGGGGGAAATGTCACATTTCTTTCATTTCCCTTCCCAGTAAGATAATTTTCCTTTGTCTGGATTCCAGCGTTCAAGCTTCCATTTTTTGTATCTTCATCTGTTCTTTCTCTTGGGTTGTCATTTGGCTTGTCATAAACTGAGTGACTTTCACATGCCTTTGATTCTTCAAAGTCACTGTCGAAGAAGGAATGGTCCACTTCACCTTCCAATGCGTCTCCAAACTGATCCATGACGGCAAAAAAAGATCTGAAAAAAAAAAAAAATGTAGACATCGGACAAAACACTCCAAATACTTTCCATTTGTATACAGTAACTTCCCCAAATTGACAAGTGTGGTTAATATATGAAGAGAAACAGTATAAAAACAACAACAACAGAAACCTAAGTGATGATGGGCTGTTGGAGTAACAAATTCTATCAATTATCTGAAAAATAAACGACCCCCATAGTGAAGTTCACGAGAAAACAACAGATCAAGGCAGGGATGTCACAAACGTGGATACCTAAGTGAACCTTCAGGAAAATCTGCCTTCTATAAATTAAGTACAACAAAACAAAGAACAAATATACAAATTAAGTATAATTAGAGTTTATAAATAAGGAAAGGATAGAATAAAAAAAAATCTCACAGGTCACCTCTCTGGAGAATAAAAGTGAAAAAATAAAAGGAAAAAAAAGAAAAATCTCATAGGATCAGCTAAAGCAGCCCAAACGCGTAGGATTTCAGTGGAAGTCGCACAGTGAGGATTGATGTATTTCAGGACTTGTCCCCTTTCTGCTCCTTCACTGCAGTTAGGAAGGAAGAAACAGAGACAAGGAGACAATTCCTGTCAAGGTTCCCCATACGTTCTTGAAGAGGAACAAAAATTCTGAGTCACACATGGAGGCTGCACAGGTATATCAAACTTCTGAATATGTAATCAACCGCAAACTATGCGGAAACCACACAGAAAATGACAGGGGAAGAGTAAATGTGTCTCACTGTGTTAAAGGGGGCCTGACGTAAGAGATACTTCATAGCAGACAGACAATGACCGTCTAAAATGGAAAAATCAAAGCATATTATTCAGACGCGTGGAGTTAAGTATTAGAAAAAATGGATTAAAATGCTCAAAGTAGTTGCCTTTATCATGGGGCAGGGAGTGCTGATTTCTGTGCTTTTTTCCCTACAGACCTCTGTTTTTGTTATAGACCTTAAATTACTAGTTGACCTGTAAATTTATATATTCCTATGACACAAAACTAAAATTGATTTAAAATATTTCAATACTCTATAGAGTTGAAATTAAATTAGAGAGATCACTATACAGTCATAGCCTTAAAAAAAGCTTTTCTGTTAGGACAGTGGTCAAAGCAGCTGTGTGACATCATCTGTTATTGAAACCTTAAGACCAGAATCGACCTTCGAATACTATTCTCCACAAAAAAACCCAGGACTCCTTGGCAGGCAGGGGACTGCATTTCTGGAGGCAAAGAGCCTGGCATCCTGTTGTTGCCAGAAAGCACAATATTTACAAATATGCCCTGGGTGGAGGGAATCAAATAGAGGATCAGTTTAAAGGGGCTTCTACTGTCCATGTCAGACAATTCAGCACTGAAAGAGAAAAAAGACAAATATACATAAAAATGAAAAGATAGACCGGGCGCGGGGGCTCAGGCCTGTAATCCCAGCACTTTGGGAGGCCGAGGTGGGTGGATCACGAGGTCAAGAGATCGAGACCATCCTGGTCAACATGGTGAAACCCTGTCTCTACTAAAAATGCAAAAAATTGGCTGGGCATGGTGGCGTGTGCCTGTAGTCCCAGCAACTCGGGAGGCTGAGCCAGCCTGGGTAACGAGAGCGAAACTCTGTCTCAAAAAAAAAAAAAAAAAGTGAAAATAAAAATTTCCAATAATAAAACAGCAAAAAATGCAATTATGTGCTCACTATATTCATATAATTCAATTTTACATCAAATCAGGCAGTAAAAGATCATGTAATCCATATCCTAAAGCAGCCACGGCACTCTGCAGCCTTTAATTGCTGAAGTGACAGTGCACCCTAAGGGAGACATTTTTTACGTACAGATATCATTTAGAAGTGAGCCAGACTTGTATTATTACTACTACTGGGATAAGTTAACATGACAGGTTAGGGTATGTGCGGTAATACATTTTATCATTGGATTATTGTTTGCCTTTAGTATTTTGAAGAGTTGAAAAGATTCCGATGTATTAGATTCATAAAAATTTAACTGTCATCTACATGTAAACATATAGGGGACTAATTGACTAAATCAGTCAGTTTAGACTTAGTTGGTTTTATAAGCAATATCTCAGTGCTTAGGAAGATTTCCTTTGCTAGATTTGTAAGTGTGCCTTGCCAGGTGACTGAGGTACTTAAAAAAAAAAAATCGAAACTATAAAAATTTGTGATGGTAATCAATTCAGCTAACGGTATACAATGTAGAGGAAAATTTAATATATTGTATCAGCTAAGTGAAGATTAATCAAAATACAAGTGAGTTTTAAAAATTTAATTTGTAAAAAGATCTTAAAATTTAAGAAATATTAGATTATAAAATTTATACCTAATAAATATTAAAATACAAGGTTTATTCTTTTCCATAGCATCGATTAATGTCTTCTTAATCGATTAATTTTCATTTTAAAATTCAAATTGACAGAGGGAAGCCTCTAACCCAAATCCTCAAAAGATAAGATACTTGATAAGGTTTTAAGTTTATTATTTATCTTCTGAGAAAGGGTCTTGCTTTGTTGCCCAGGCTGGAGTGCAGGGACAGGATTTTAGCTCAGTGCCGTCTTCAACTTCTGGGCTTGAGTGATCCTCCCACCTCAGCCTCCTGAGTACCTGGAACTACACACCGCCAGAACAACCACACCCGGGTTTTCCTTTCTTTTTTGAGATGGTGTCTCGCTCTGTCACCCAAGCTGGAGTGCAGTGGTGTGCTCTCAGCTCGCTGCAGCCTGCGCCTCCCAGGTTTCAGCAATTCTCCTGCCTCAGCCTCCCAGGAAGCTGGGATTACAGGCATGCACCATGATGCCTGGCTAATTTTTGTATTTTTAGTAGAGATGGCGTTTCACCATGTTGTCCAGGCTGGTCTGGAACTCCTGACCTCAGGTGATCGGCCCACCTTGGCCTCTCAAAGTGCTGGGATTATGGGGTCATGAGCCACCATGCTCAGCTTCTTATTTTCTAGAGACAGAGTCTCCCTATGTTGCCCAGTTTGGTCTTAAACTCTGGGCTCAAGTGATCCTCCCACCTCAGGCTCCCAAAGTGCCGGGATTACAGGTGTGAGCCACTGTGCTCGGTCTCCTAATGAAGTTTTTTTTTTTTTTTTTTTTTTTTGGTTTTGTTTTTCTGAGACAAAGTTTCACTCTGTTGCCCAGGCTGGAGTGCAGTGGCACTATCTTGGCTCACTGCAATCTCCACCTCCCAGGTTTAAGCAATTCTCCTGCTTCAGCCTCCCTAGTAGCTGGGATTACAGGCATGAGCCACTATATCTAGATAATTCTTGTACTTTAAGTAGAGATGGGTTTCACCATGTTGGCCAGGTTGGTCTCAAACTCCTGACCTCAGGTGATCTGCCCACCTCAGTCTCCCAAAGTGCTGGCATTACAGGCATGAGCCACTGCACCGACCATCTCAAATAGTTTATGAAAACTAAAACTTGTCTCTTTCAAAAGGCACTCAGCACTTTCAGAGACATAAAAAAACCTAAAAACTTTTGAATCGGTAACTTCACTTCTAGAAATCTATCCTAAAGACATTATATTAAAAAGAAAAAGGAGGCCGGGAGCGGTGGCTCACAACTGTAATCCCAGTACTTTGGGAGGCCAAGGTGGGTAGATCACCTGAGGTCAGGAGTTCAAGACCAGCCTGGCCAACATGGTCAAACTCCATCTCTACTAAAAATACAAATTAGCCAGGTGTGGTGGCATGCGCCTATAGTCCCAGCTACTTGGGAGGCTGAGGCAGGAGAATCGCTTGTACCCAGGAGGCAGAGGTTCTAGTGAGCTAAGAACACACCACTGCACTCTATCTAGCCCGGGAGACAGAGCAAGACTCTGTGTCAAAAATAAATAAATAAAAAGTAAACAGGGGATTACAGCATTACTTGTAATACTGACACGCTTGTATACATAAATATTACGATCCTGTTAACATAATCACTTAGACCGGGAGTCAGCAGACTACTTTTCCATAAGCCAAATCTGGTCTGCCATCTGTTTTTATAAATAAAATTTTATTGGAACACAGCCCCACTCATGGGTATAGGTATTGTCTCTCCCAGCTTTCACACTACGACTGTATTGCTGAGTAGTTGTGACTAAGACCCTACGGCTCACACAGACTAAAATACTTACCATCAGATCCCTTACTGAAAAGTATGTAGGTCAGGCGCTGTTGCTCACACCTGTAATCCCAGCACTTTGGGAGGCTGATGCGGATAGATCAGGCAAAAGAATCGCTTGAACCCAGGAGTCAGAGGTTGCAGTGAGCTGAGATTGTACCATTGCACTCCAGCCTGGGCGACAAGAGTGAGACTCCATCTCAAATAAAAGAAAAGTTTGTAGATCCTGGATTGATTGATCGATTTAATTTTTTAAAAAACAGGACCTCACTCTATCACCTAGGCTGGAGTACAGTGACAGGATTCTAGCTCACTTCAGCCTCCAACTCCTGGGATCAAGTGATCCTCCTACCTCAGCGTCCAGAGTAGCTGGGACTACAGGTGCATACCACTGTGCCCAGCTTGCAGACCCTTGATTTAGACGATGTATACATGAAAAATACAGAATACGAAACTTTTCTACACTGAATTAATAATATAATTTACAGTTAAACAAAAATTAGGGGGAGGAGGGCATAAATTAAGAGTTGACCTGTTAAAAGAAAAATGACCAACAATCCCACTATGAATTTATAGTTCCACTACTGTGATCATAACAGTGTTTGTGTAATAAAGTAGGCACAGAGGTGATGAGTGGGAGTCTGCTCAGTGGTGGAAAACGAATGGTGTCAGACACACCCAGACTCAAAATATGATTCTGCTACTTCCCAGCTGTGTGATCCTGGGCATGCATACAGGATGTCCATCACAGCACAGCATCTATTACTGTGTGCAGCAGCAACGCATGAAAAACAACTTCAATGTCTATTAAGAGGAAGATGAATAAACAACACCTGCCAAAAAGGATGCACTGAGTGAGATCTATAAAACTAACACTGAATAAAAGAGCAG